GATGCATACAAATTCAATGCATTAATTAGGCTACATATGGTTTGTAGGATTAGGTACCTCACTAGATTTAAAGAATGCTGAAGTAAAAACTGGAGTTCGACACTCAAAGTTGAAGATAAGAAGAATTCATGAAGGAAAACTTTTCCCTTCCAATCTCTGCAAATAGTAGGTTATCAACACTTTATAATTAATTCATCTAATCCCTTCAACTTTTACAAAATGTGGTATTCATTTCTAACTTTAAAATACCTTGAGTGAACTATCCAATCCAATCATAGACACAAAGGTGGCAAACGAATTCGATTATTCTACTGATTGTATAATGTAGTAGCTAAGAATTATCCTTTGTAAATCATTAATTAAAATATTTATAATACCAGAAATTATATTTTAATTTGTATGTAATTTTGTTGAATCTCAATTACGTTTGAAAGAAAGAATATATTAAAAAAAAAAAAAAAAAAGAACTCGTTACCAGCAGCCTTTGGCATTCAATGTAGTTCTCTATACCCCACTGCCTTTTGCATCCTTTGTACCGGAGAAAAAGAATAATATGTGGGATGTTTACACCATAATCAACTGAGCATATCCAGCCTCAAAACAACTAGCACCAAGGCAGACATGCCTTCTCCCCTGCTGGAGGAAGACACTCTTCCGAGGTGCCAAGCACCTGCTGAAACTCCCGATTGCCAAAGCTCATAAACTGCTAAACCTAATTTCTATGACACGTGTCACCACCGCAGCGACTTGCACAAAGTCCCACATTGGAAATCTACACAAACCTCCCAGTTTCACTTCCCTATAAATAGGGAACAGTACCCTAGTAAAGAGGGTAACTATTTTCTTACCTTTTTCTATTACTCTGCTAAAGTTACCATCCTTAGCTGACTGCTTCTCCTATTTTGTCTTCTGCAGGCTAGCCCCTTGTTGAAGGCCCAGGCCCTTCTTCTGCTGAAAGCAGACCCCTATCTTTTCTCTAAGTTGACCCTCTTCAAAAAAGAGCATCAACAGTTTGGCTCCGTTTGTGGGAATCGATACTTGAATCCCATTTTTCTCTACCAGCCCAGCTGGCTCATTCTCCTATCCAGCCCCGTCACCTTTTCTTCACTCCACACTCAGCTATGCCTACTGAGGATAGCCACGGGACTCAGCACCATACCCCCCATGGGGGTACCTCCTAGAGGAGACCTTCAGTAGATGCCAGTCTCCAGGCAGAACTGGAGAGCCTCTGTGCTAGTGTCACCAAGATGTTCGAGAAATATGACCATCTTCATGCTAAGAATGTCGAGTCGAGCATGACTACCGCACACTGAAGCATAATTGGGAGATGGATCAAGCCCAGGGCTCCCAACGTAGTCTTACCCGGGAACCTGAGCGAACCTAGCCAAATCAGCTGGAGCACTCCCACCACAGTGTCCCAATCCAACCTAGGCTCAGCAAGGGTAAAGGCCGCCTCCATTCGTAGACGACCAAGTCGCGGCTCCTCCGCATCTTCCAGCCGAGGAACCGGCCCCATGAACCAACAGCAGCGCAACCACCAACCCCTCTGGGCAAAGCCATGACCTGGGCCCTTTACCGAATGCATCCTTAATTACCACCAGTAGAAGGACATCCAGCCACTCCGCATCACCTTCTACACTGGCACGGAGGATCCTCTCACCCACATACATTCTTTTCGGTCTGCCCTGGGGTGCAAGGGCCTCACTGACGAAGGCATGTGCCTCCTCTTCCCTTCCACTCTCAGTGGCGCGGCCCTGAATTGGTTTTACAGGCTGAACCCCCGCACCATCAACACATTTGACAGTCTGAAGCAGGCCTTCTTGGACCATTTCATGATCCAGACTGATCGCCTCTACTCAGCAGACAACCTATATATGCTTAGACAGGGTGAGGACGAGCCCCTTGGGGAATATGCAGCTAGGTTCAGCTACGAATACTCCCGCTGCCCAGATACTGATGATCGTGCCGCCTTTGGTGCTTTCAAGAGTGACCTCTGAAAGTCCAACTTCCGGTACTTGGTCCATAGCAACCCTTGGAACACATATGCCGAGCTGATGAAGTAGGCGGCAGTTCACGCCAAGGCTGAGTACTTCAACTCCAAGCGCAGCCCAGCCATCCCGACGCGTAATCCTTTTGCTGATCCTCCACTTGCTTCAGTACCCATCCCAGCTCCACATTAACATTCTGCCCCCACACCAAGCACCCAGGGTGCCCAGCACCCCAAGAGGAAGGATAGCTGCCAGCATACCTTCAGCAATATCAAGCGGGGCAGACATGGAAACCACCACCAGTCTGGTGGAAGCAACCCCCAGGACAAATGACTGGGCCCCACTCCCATTCTCACCCAAACCCAGGTTCGAGGTCTTCACCACCCTCAACACTACCTATGAGAATGTCCTGGTGCATGAAGCACCTATCATACCCCATCCTCCACCCCGGAAACCAGGCAGCAAGCATATGCCTAACATAGGTGTCTTCTGTCGCTTTCATCAGTTCGGTGGCCACGATACCGAATCTTGTGTTGTCTTGCGCAACATCATTGAAGGACTTATTCGTGAGGGGAAGCTAGATAAATACGTGCGCAATCTCCCACCCCCACCTAACCCTCACCAACGGCAGATCAACATGATCTCAACCATCAGTGGTGGCCTACTATGGCTAGATCCTCTAACAACTCCATCAAACATTATGTCCGCTCCACCTATGCGCATCAGGTCTTCAACACTGAGCAGGAACGCTTGCCAAAGACACAAACAACAGGCTGGGCCCCTATTACCTTCTGCGAGGAGGAGGAGTGTGGCGTTATCCTCCCTCATGATGACCCAATCATTATCCGCGCTGACATCTCTAATTTCGACGTTGGGCGCATCTTGGTAGACATTGGCAGCTCGGTCAGTGTGATGTTTGTTGATGCCTACAACGAGCTCCAGGTCCCATCTCATTTGCTCAACCGAAGCGTCACACCCCTGGTGAGCTTTTCGGGCGATATGGTCCAGGCTATTGGGAGCATTCATCTCCCTATCTCTATTGGAACAGCACCCCACAGCCTACAACGTTATCCTTGGGCGCCCTGCCATGGCCCAAATGAAGGTTTTCATCCCCATGGCATGGGCATGGTGCGCGGCGACCAACTTGGCGCCTAAAGCTGCTATGCTTCGGCAGTAAAGTCTACCAATCGCCAACATAGGGGTGAGGCCCTAGCGGTAACCCGGGCCCCAGCCCCACCTCGAGCTGGCACTGAGCGCCCAGAAGACCCTAGGGAGGAATCTATCACCCAACATGCCGAACCTGTGGAGGACCTCGAACTGGTGACTCTCCATGAGGACATCCGGGATCGACAGGTCAAGATCGGCACCTCCCTCTCACAAGAGCTTCGCTATGATCTTGTTGCCTTCCTCTGCCTCAACTCTGAGGTCTTTGCTTGGTCTTACAACGATATGCCAGACATATCACCTGATGTCATCTCTCATAGGCTAAGCATTAATCCTGCCGTCCAACCCGTTCGGCAGAAGCGTAGTGCTTATGACCCGGAACGGTATGAGGCCATGAAGGCGGAAGTGGATAAGTTGAGCACCATTGGATTCATCAAGGAGGTGGATTATCCCACCTGACTAGCCAATGTGGTAATGGTACGTAAACCAAGGAAGGGCTGGCGCATGTGTGTAGACTACATAAATCTCAATCGGGCTTGCCCAAAGGATAGTTTACCCCTACCCCGCATTGACCAGCTAGTTGACACTACAGCTGGCCACACCCTCCTCAGCTTCATGGACGCTTACACAGGGTACAACCAGATCTTCATGCACCCTGAGGACTAAGCTCATACATCCTTCATCACTGACCGTGACCTTTATTGCTACAAAGTCATGCCCTTCGGCCTCAAGAACACCGGGACTACGTATCAGCATATGGTGAACAGCATCTTGCTGGTGAACAACATCTTTGCTCTACTGATTGGTAACACCATAAAGGTTTATGTTGATGACATGCTTGTCAAGAGTCGCACTGCTGACCAGCACATCCCCAACCTCTCTGCCATGTTCACCATCTTGAAGCAGTATAAGATGCGGCTCAACCCCACCAAGTGTGCTTTTGGAGTGGCCTCCGGCAAATTCCTTGGCTTCATGATCAGCCAAAGGGGTGTCGCAAGACAGTCAAGGATATCTTGGACATGACGATACCCAAGACGGTCAAGGACATTCAGAGTCTTACCGGGCGTGTCGCAGCCCTGACCAGATTTATCTCTAAGGCCACTGATCGTTGAGTCCCATTCTTCAAGGCACTTAAGGGTAGCAAATGTAGCATTACCTGGACTGCCGAATGCGACCAAGCATTCGGCGAGCTCAAGGCATACATGAGCCGAGCCCCTTTATTGTCAACCCCTGAGTCTGGGGATGTCCTCACTATCTACCTCTCTGTCTCAGCCACAGCGGTTAGCTGAGTGCTCATTCAACCACACGAAGGTGCTGAGCATCCGGTGCACTATGTGAGCAAATGATTGCAAGATGCAGAGGTTCGATACCCAGACATTGAGAAACTTGCTTTCACCCTGGTGGTTTCGGCTAGGCGCCTTAGACCATACTTCCAAGCTCACACCATCCATGTCTTAACCAACCAACGGCTCCGGCAAGTGTTGCAGAAGCCAGAGACTTCTGGGAGGTTAGTTAAGTGGGCCATTGAACTTGGTGAGTTTGATATCCATTACAAACCCCGCCAAGCCACAAAAGGCCAAGCCGTGGTTGATTTCATATCTGAATTCACCGAACCCCATACTCTGGCCAGTCCTCAGATTGCAATCAAGCCTACTCCTACCTCGAACGAGGTCCACGTAGCCAGCAAAGGCTCCTTAGACTTAACTTAGCCCTTATAGACCTTTTATGTGGATGGCACTTCCAATGCCCAGGGATGTGGAGCTGGCCTCGTTCTCATCTCCCCAGACAAGGTTGTCCTTGAGTACGCCCTCTGCTTCAAATTTCACGCCTCCAACAATGAGGCCGAATATGAAGCACTCTTAGTCGGCCTTCGGCTAGCCAAGGAGATGGGCACCAAGCAAATCCAAATATTCAGCGACTCGCAGCTTGTTGTCCACCAAGTCAACCAGGACTTCACGGCCAAAGACGTCTCCATGACAGCCTACCTCCAACATACCCGCAATCTGCTTACAACTTTCAATGCTTATCTCATAGGCCAGGTGCCACGCTCTGAGAACAGCCATGCTGATACATTAGCAAGGCTAGCCTCGGCGATGGAGTAGGGCATAGGTCGCAACATCCACATCGAGTTCTTGGACCAGCCCAGCACACGGGCATCACTCATCTGTGTCATTGATCACAGCCCTACATGGATGGACCCTATCACTCAGTTCTTGCAGAACCAGACACTACCTACTGATACTGCTGAAGCGCAGCGTGTTCGCTATCGTTTCGCCCTATACAAGCGCGGCTTCAGCCTCCCCTACCTTCGGTGCCTGACCCCAGAGGAAGGTACCTACGTCCTAAGGGAGATTCATGAAGGTATTTGTGGTAACCACTCAGGCGCTCGCTCCCTAGCACACAAAATCATTCTGCAGGGATACTTTTGGCCATCACTTCACACTGCTGCCCATACCTTCACCCAGAAGTGCGATAAGTGTCAACGATTTGCCAACATCCCACAACTTCCAGCTGAGCCATTGACAGCCATGGTCAGCCCTTGGCCATTCGCCCAATGGGGACTTGACCTCATTGGACCTATGCCTAAGGGCAAGGGCCAAGTTAAGTATGCAGTTGTAGCTGTGGACTACTTCACCAAGTGGGCTGAAGCTGAGACCTTAGCCACCATC